CAATAATATTTTTCTTTTAGTTTGACGTAATTTCAATAATAAAAATTTAACTAACTATAAATATGTCTTATCTTGTGATATATATTGCGGAATAAGTGGAGACTGCTAAATATGGACTGCGTCCTAGGCCGTGTGCGAGTTCGAGTAAATTGAGGTAAAGAAAATTGAAGTTTCCTAGAGATTTTTTGCACTGCACTTAAGTAAATATTTATTTATTTATTTATTATTTTTGGTTAAAAGTTTTCAAATTTATTAATTTATTTATTAAACATCTTATAAAATTTTCGGAATAGTACTTTACCTAATTTACCTTACTCGAAACATTCGCTGCCATACCGACATAACATACTATTTCCCTCAATTTACAATCAATTTACTCGAACTCGCACACGGTCTTAATTTTAATACATTGGAATAAGATTCATCAAGTGTTTTAAAAATGTAAAAACAATGCCTTTTTATAATGTAAATGGCCAGTTCGCTTAATAATCGGCCAGTTGGCTTAATAAAACTCTTAAAAAATATCAATAGTTTAAAGTAATGTAACTTTAGAATCAAGATTGCACCTATAATATAATCCTTTACTCACGTAGAATACTAAATCACCACTAGGAGGCAACAATAAGGAACTATGGTAGTTACCCATAATCAGTAATGCACAGATATCCTCCAGAAGTAGAATACAAAGAATCTCAAAAAATCTAATAAAGTGTTAATAACCTATCACATAATCCTTTACTCACATAGAATATTAAATCATCACTAGGAGGCAACAATAAGGAGTTATGTGTAACTATTGAATTTGTAATGCACAGATATCCTCCAGAAGTAGAATACGAAGAAAAGTCTTATAAAGCGTTAATAACAATAAAGTACAACAAAGTAGCACCATTTTATGTTGGTTGTTAACTCGTAAATCACATATTCACATATTACAGAATCTTCTTTATATAGATCTTAAGCAATGGAACATTAGAAAAGTAATTTGAAAAACTATTGAATTAAGAATGCATCTATCACAGATACCCTTATCATGTGTAATGCTTAGCCAAAACGTGTGTGAAACCTTTAATAAAATTATGTTGGTAAATACTAAAATTAGAAATGCACCTACATATCACAAAAACACTCAATATTAAGTATAAAACAAAGATATATATTATCAACATAACTAACGTATTATCTAGTGACTAGAATCTGCAAAAATATGATAAAGGCAATATTTAAATGAAATATGAATCTTCTAGAAAATTGAATTAAACTTTTAATTGCATATTGTAATATATAATGTTACATTTTGTTAATGTATTGTAGGTCATAGCTGCACTATAAAAATAATTGTTTAGATGTATATATACATACATTGTTAAACCCCCCAGAAAATACATCAATCTGATAACACAAAAAAAGCTTTATTTAAAAAATCTTCATAGAAAAACAGTTATCAAAAAATTTTGAAACATTCTCAATCACTGAATAGAGTGTCTTAAAGATTATTGAAAAATTTCTAATAGAAAACTATATTTGAAATTCACCGTGGGAGGCCTGAGAAATAAATACAAAAAATATTTTACCATACCCAGTCAATCTTCAAAAATATATTGTTTTTTAAACATCATTTATTTTTCTGTATCAAAGATGAATCAGCCAAGATCGCTTAAATCTTATCACGTAAAACCTATTTATAATATTTCAAATATAAATAAGATAAGAAAATATTTATATTAAAATTGCCGGGGTTTTTTAAAGTAGGTATATTTTATTTTTGAAGACTGTAAATAATATCTTTCAGTTTATATTTTTAATTAAGAAGTACAAATATTTATATTTACATACAATATTTTTGTATTTATATTGTAATAAATTTAATTATTTAATAAAATAATTAAATATATTCAAAAATTATAATTTAACGACAGATGTAATGGAATGTAATATATAAAAGTTACGATATTTTAATGTTTTAGTAATTTTTTAGTATTCTATTGTATCGCTAAATACCACAGTCCATCAAGTGATCATAATTACTATTCTTTGATAATAATTAAGAGTAGTTTACTAGATCCTTAGATACCAGAAACTAACAAGTAATCATAATTACTTTTTTATGGCATTAATCAAGGGTTTAGTTCCTAAGAAATATTTAAAAAATATGATGCGAAAATCTGTGTGAGAATATGCTTTTAAAAAAGTATATATATAGACGTTTAGGCAAATGTAAATAAAAGGCATACAGTAATCGTCCACTATTACGGGTACACAATTTAATATATTCCAATTTAACAAACGTCATAATCTGGTCATTGATTATTCTGTATAATGAATGTGTACTTCTTACATTGAATAGTCAATGATTTCATTTAAAATAGTGCAGGAAAACGAGCATGAAAAGAAATTTGTCTGATGTACGATCGCCTACGAAACATATACCTTAGTCTCTAAGAAGAAAGGTAGTCCCATTGTGATATAAAGAACTTAAATAAATATAATCTTAATATTATATAATATTATTAATATTATGAGTTTAATAAAATGAACAAACAATAAAAATAATAAAATGAACACTAGTGATTAATGTCGAAGACATATTTAGGGAAAGAAGACCCAAGAAAAGAAACACTTCTGTGGAGTGCTGAGTAGCGACAGTGAATATAAGTAGTATATTCTTTTTTATCTTCCGATTCACATTAATAGTAACCAAATATAACATCTATATTCAAAATTTATTAATATAATTTATTGTATTAATAATCAAATTTTATTCTTAAATAATTAAATTCGTTTTAAAAAACATGTTTTATTGTCACCAATGTACCCTGAAGATGACTATAAACTGTAGTCAGTACTCTGAAGATGAATATACATCATAGTGGAAGTATTTCAACTATAAAGTATTTTATTGTCACTAAAATTTCGATTATAGAGTACAGATGAATATAGACCATAGTGGAAGTATTTCGATTATAATCAATAGTCATTACCCTGAAGATAACAATAGATTACAGTCGAGATATTTCAGCTATAATTTTTGGTCAATACTCTGAAGATGACTGTAGACTACAGTCGAAATATTGGTGACAATAATATATTATATGTATTTTAAAAATTTGTATATTATTATTAAACATTAACCAATAGGGCTGTTCAAAAATAAATAACACATTATTATACAGTCACAAAATATACAGTCAATAATAAGACATTATTACCGTTATTTTTATGACCTGTGTAGCGCTATCAGTGCAGTCGGGATGACCGATCGCTTTTAAGATTGTTTACATCTTTTGAACTTAAATTTTCAATATTGTATGATGAAATGAGTGAGTGCAAAATAGTAATTTTTTTCTTTACAACAATTACAACAACAAAATATCACATTGGTTATAAATGATCAGCAAGGCAAATAAATGTTCCGTGTTAAAAGAGAATAAATAAATAAAAAATAATTAAAGAAAAAAAAGAAAAATAAAACTAAACAAAGTGAGATGATGATGAAATTTTTAAAAACATTTAAAATTTTGGAAAATGTAAATTCAGCGAACATTTTGTTTGCGGTTGTAATATATTTAATCAAAACGTGCCACTATAAAAAAAAAAACTAGCATATGCTACATTTTTTTTCTCATTTACAGAACATTTTTAAGGTATTTCAAGGCCGATTAGGGAATACATAGAGAAATAATTTAAATGCGTAATTAAAACTGCTTAACATTTCTTTTTCTCATTTCTTATATTATTTTATGTCAAACGCAAAAAGTAGGCAAAAGGGTTAAGAAAAATGTATTTAACAATACATTAATTATTTTTAAATTATTTAAAAATCAATTAGGAATTATTAAACAAAAAAAAAAAACATTAAAATTGGACTGGAAAAAAACTACCTCCAGTAAACAAATGATCATTGTCACAGGCATGTTTACACTTCCCTTTAGGTTTATTTTCATTCAAATACTCAACAGTTTTTTAGACAATCCCTGATAATTGCAAAAGTAAAATGGTTAAAATATTTTTAAAGTATTTTTTCAAGAATATTAGGCAGGTTATTTTTCAAAATGGTTCTTCCTAATGCCCACCACGCAAACTTAGATGACCTAATCGCCTTATACACGCATAACGAGAGTCAACAATGTCTCTTCCTCTTCATGTGTGTTGTGTGTATACGTACAATTAATAGAAAAACAAATGTACTTTATCCGCAAACTAGTTTTCTTTTGCTTACCGCTCATCACTCATCACAACTCAGCCATTTTACAGTATGAATTTTAAAAATGAAAGGCCAAATTTAGAACCTGTGCCCGAAATAAGCAAAAACGTCATTGAGTGGAGTTTTTAATATGTAAATGGTAAACCGACAACAATAATAGTAACAACAACAAATGGCGACAACAATGCAGATGACAAAATAAAAATAAAAAAACAAAACAAAAACAACATTGACCGCGTTCAATAGCAAAAGTTTGGCATTTATAAACAAAAATAAAACAATAATAAAAGCGCAAAAATACAATATAAAAATAGTTCTTTTTGAACGTAATTGTTTTTTTTTTTTTCAATCTTAAAATAAGAACTAAAATAGAATTTTACTTTGATTTGTTGACAGATTTTAACTACGAGACATTTTAGCAGCAAAATATTTTAGAGCAAAAAAAAAAACTTTGTTAATTCTCTGCGCAGTGGCAAATTACGCAGCTCAAACAATGCTATGTGTACTTAGAAGTTGGTGGGAGGAGGGGTAGCATTTTATCGTAATAACAATACTTTGGTGCTCAATATACGATAAATAAGGCGACAGAAAAAAAAAAGCAAACAGTACAGCACTTTGCCAGGGTTAGTTGACCCCTAACGTATTGCTGCAAGCAGCAATGATGTCAATCATTTCGTAAATTTAACCACTTTCACCCTACTTTTACGACATTTTCATTTCCTCATTGTAATGAATAAAAATTATGAGAAATACTTGGTGACATATTAAAAAATTGTAAATATATAATTTATTTTACCTGTGACAGTAATCGTTGGTGTGCAGCTGATTGTTCAGCTGCTGCGCTTGCTGTTGTTGTTGCTTTTGTATGTTTTGACCTCCTACAGCTTTGATTTTCTGTGCTCTGCTCGTCTAAAAAATTTGTGGTCGTTGCAGCACTTAAATTTTTTGCTAAATTATTTGTATTTGTTTTTTCGATATCATTCCTGTTCCTTGATGCTTTGTTTCCCATTAATATATTTAATTTTTAACATTAATTATTTTTGTTTTGCTTTCTCCTAAAACTTTTTTTTCCTTTTTACTTTTCCCTTGTTTCTTGCCTTATTTTCACTTTTTAGTTTCAGAATTCATTGAAAATTTACGAATTTAGCATATTTATATAGATTTATCTTTACAACTTATATTCGAAACACGTTTATTAGTATATTATTACTTAAATTTAAATAAAATTATTTAACAATTATGTTATATGCAAAATTTCTGCGTTTATAATTTATTTCCTCTAACGCAGCAAATTTTACATAAACGAATTTTACCAACTGAACTGAACTCTGGCGAGCGAGAAACTAAAATGAATGCCTGAACAATGCTACCAAATCAACCAAAGTAAGTGCGGCGAATTAAGTTTCGCACATGCCACAGTCAAACAAAAATCGTAATAAAATAATATGTATTCTTCCATATGTTGGCCGTGTTCAAGTGGGAATAAATTGATGGTAAGGTCGTGTGCGAGTTAGGCTAAGTTGATGCTAAACCAAATGGGAGATTTTTTGGGATTTTTTGCACTGTACATATTTTGCCATTTATCAACACGTATCGACACATCAATACATTATCTACACAATTTAGAATTTCCCTCATTTAGAACGCAACTTAGCCTAACTCGCACACGACCTAAATTAGGAGGGAAATTGTACATTATGTCGGTACGGCAGTAAATGTTGGTATTTACCAGAATTTCGAGTTGAGTAAATTATATAAAAATTAGATATTAACATTGTAATAATTTTACATGTTTAATAAATTAATTTGAAAACTTTTAACCAAAAATAATAAATAAATAAATATATACATAAGTGCAGTGCAAAAAATCGCTGGGAAATTTCAATTTACTTTACCTCAATTTACTAGAACTCGCATAAGGCCGTTATATGCTAGTACCGCCTGTTGTGTTGTATTGGTTTTATAGTTAGCTGGTGCATGGATCTTGTAATATCAATTGCAAGTTACACATACAAATATTAACCACGTTTTCGAAAAGTTGGCAAAGTCATAACTTAATGTGTTTATATGGAACGTGCATAAGGAAACCATTAATTGGCTTGAGTAGCTAAAAATGTCAAAAATCAATACGCACAAATACTAACACACTGCGCCCAATTAAACTACTATCGCTGATTACTGTATTCCGTAAAATTGAACTACAGTGACAGTCATCAAGCATTGTAATAAAGAAATGTAGTTCAATCATGTTTAAGACATTAAATTGAAATACTTTGAAAGTCCAGTTTGTTAACGGGTTAGCCGTTGAACTGAATTCACTGAATACTGTATTCAATACAAGTAAACTCTGTGGAAGTAGTTAGATACTGTAGCAAGAACTATAGTTGAATCGTGCTTTCAATTTTTGAATATACTCCTATCACATTTTATGGTTAACTTTAACATTATATTTCTGCTTAAGTTAGACTAATAAAAATTTTCTCCCAAGTTCTGAGAGTTTATTCAGAACATTTTTAGTATAAATTAAAAATTTTGTGATATAATTATAATTTTCCGACAACTCAAGTACATTACCTGTAACCTAATATACGAACGTAGTTGTAAACAAATTCAATTAACATATATATTAAAATACTGTTTTTGCTTTCAAACTGTCGAATGAGTTATAAACTTTACTGTGATTTTTTTTACAAGCTAGAAAAACCAAAAGTATCCGAATATTTGAATTTAGGTTTATTTTGAAGACTGAAGAATACAAAAGCACATAAGTTTTATATAAATAATATTTGTTAATAAATAAAAGAGAAATATTTTTTCAATTATCATTTCTATTGCAAAATCCATTGGACATTATGCGAAATAAAGTGAAAAATCAATGCAACCTCAATAAATTAAAGAACAGAGAAAACTATATGTGTGTTTACTACTGTAAATCAACTGATGGAGATCTATGGTTAAAATTTTAAAACAAAGCAGTTTGCAACAACAATAATGCAGAATATATAATTATTTCTAATGATGGAGTTCCGGTAAATTCAGACCTGAAAATGTAGAAATATATTTCTGAAGGTCACTTTGCTTTTATTACACTCTTTTACCCACTTGAATTCTGCAAACAATGGAAAGTTTAGAAACTTTATTAAACAGAATTCATTGACAGTTTATGCGGTTTGCAAGGTCTCGTGTTCACTCATATAATTAAATTTCTAATTCTGAGAATACCCAGAAAAGGGATCTTAACAGTGTTAATTATATTTGTTAAAGCATTTAAAACATCAATTTCGGTGAAAGTGGGATAGGTTTTTTTCGCCCACTCTCATTTTTTATGCCCTTACGTTTTTTTTAAAATTTGTTTTTGATAAAGAATACTCTGTTTCCAAATGCTTTAGTATAATATATAGATATATCAATAATCTTGTTTTGTAATTACATAACTTTTAAAAAATTAACTTTACATATTATTTTATTATATATATGTAGTCGGGTATATTGAATATTTACTATATACAAATTATATGTTGCTTAGTCTGTATGTATTAACAACTTATAAAAAAGGTTTTTCTTTCATTAACGGTTTATTAGAAGTGTAAACAATTAATCCTCTTAAATTCAATTTTCAATTGAAAACATATATATGTTCTGTCAAAACATAAAATTTTATTAATTTAAAAATTATGCATAAGAGTTTAAGTTCAAAATTCAAAAAATTGATATCTGACACAAATTCATTACCAAAATTCTTTTAAACAAAAATATTTTTGTCGAATTTGCAATACCTAACTAAAAAATATTTTTATTACAATTGCTACCTGAGAAAAGAGATTCTAATTACATTCATGTAGGTAAGAAAAATAAAATGTTAACTGTCAGTTTGTTTTATCCTTCACAGAAAAAATTAATCTATTCGTAGGTAAATAATTTTACAATGGTAGCGTATAAAATTTAGGAGTAGAAGCGTATATATATGCAACCCTGCTATTAATGTTTATTCATTTGACATTTAATAATTTTAGTTGGCAGTATTTAAATCGTCAAAATTCTGTGTCGCGTTACAGTCTGTTAGAAGCGTTCAAGAGTAACTATTCTTCATAGAAATTAATAAAATACTTTCGTAATTTTATATTAAAATAAGATTTGAAAATGGATGTATCGTTAGATGAAATAATACGTACTCGCCAAATCGGAAGTTTAGTAAAGAAAAAGTCGTAAGTAAAGAAATAAAAATGGCGATAGTGAGGTGCGTTGATTGCGATAATTGATTTTTCTTTTCTTGATTTATAGAACCACTGGGAAACCTGCACAAAAAAAATTGGTCAATCGTAGTACTTTTAAACCGAATAACTTTAAGCCGCCTGCACGTACGTTTGATGCTCGTAATAGGATTATAGAAAAAAATCGTGCAAAAATACGTGATGCTCGGGATAAACTTGCTGAAATTTCGAGAGCCTGTGGTGATGTACGCCACCGTTTGTTACAAAAACAAGCATCAAGTCCCAATTTTATGTCATCACAGACTAAACAAAATTATCGCCCAGATCGTGTAGCAAGAATCGCACCAATTCGCCGGTCTACATCATTAGGATTAACCAGCAAAAGTGCAAAGCAACGAATGAAGAGAATGCCTGATATGTTTAATGTTCCTTTAGGATATGTTGATCATGACAATATGGAACGAATGGAACAAGGTAAATTCTAGTAAGGATTATTTTGTCGTATCTTTTTAAATCATATATTCAATTTATAGAGGAATATGCACTCGCATCGCATCTTAGTCGCACTGTAAAAAATGACATAGCACAATTTGGATACAATAATACACATACAAACGTTCCGCCACCTGCACCTAGACGCTTGAATTCATGGGGATCCAATTCTGATCAATTTGAACCATTTGATGTATATGAGATTCCACGCTCAAGGCCAGAACGACGAATGTCTGTCGACTTACCACCACCACCGCCTAAAGGTATTTTACGTTCGAGTGTCAGAGAACAAAGCCCACCCAGCATGTACCAGCGCCGGTTTAATCCAGAAAATAGTCATCTTTCATATGAAATGCGCTCACGTTTAATGACTACACCAGATCCGCATGCTTCAATGGGTATTTTTGCAAACCCACAAAAAACGGTTCATCCACAAGTCTCGCCAAACGGTTATCGTATTGTAGTGAGCAATTTACACACTAGTGTTACCCAGACTGATATACAAGAACTATTCGAAGATGTGGGTGAACTGTATGATGCTCGCATTGTGCGTCCCGGTATAGCAGAAGTTGTTTATAAATCTCTAACAGATGCTGAGAAAGCAGTAGATCAGTATCATAATCGGCAGTTAGATGGACAACCGATGAAGTGTCTTTTGGTGAATCCACGCGCTTCAAATAAGCCAACTGCGCCAGCTTTAAAGACTGCAAGGTAAATGCTAATAATAAAACTACTAGTATGAAAACTTTGATGTTAATAATACAGTTTTTACAGCTCAACTGCAAGACTCGCATCAAATAAAACACCATTGGAAATTGATATTGATGCATTGCATAAAGTGCTTTTTAGACGTTAAATTCAAAGCCTTAAAATACTCATTAACGTTACAATAAAACAAAAGTTAAATATGAAATGAAAATGAAAATGTTGGCACGAAACGATTGCAGTAAATAGATTAAGGACTAAAATGATGCGGTCGAGCGGAAATTTGTCAATTTATACCACAAACTGCAGCTAAAATATAAAACTACAATTTTATAAATTTCATAAATTTTCTGTTTTTAAAGAAAAACAAACTAATTTGATTTTAACTTTTATTC